TAGCGACGTTATGTCCGTTATTCTGCGACACCTTCAGCAGCTCAAACACCTTGAAATATGCGACGTAGATGTCGAAGATCAAGAGCAGTCCGCCGGATACTCTATGAAACTTTGAAGCGACACGAGTTTGGGGACACTGCCGCTGCTGCAACTTGAATCTCTGACGATGCGAGGTCTGGGTTGGGATGATGGTTGGAGATTCTCGATTCCTGCAGTCTTGGACCTGCTACGCCGAACTCCCAACCTCATCGAGTGCTTCTTGTACCACCCCCTTATGTCAAATGATTTTGACCCCAACCCAAAATTGGTCCTCCCAGAGCTTCGTCGGCTGAGATTTGGAGAACATGGAATAGAACCTTTAACAAGCGACCGTCTCCTCAACCATCTTTCCCTCCCCAATCTCGAAGCCCTCTCCACGTCACTCATCTCCAGCGATGATTTTCTGCTCCGCTTCCTAAGGTGTTCGCCACCGCCACTTCTGGAGCTTGTTATCCTATGGGGATGCGACGACTTCACCCCGCTGGATGAATGCCTTCGTCTCGTACCCAATCTGAGGCAGTTCGAAATATGGCAGGTGCAATGCCATGTCGCGGAAGAACTATTCTCAGCATTGGCCAAGACCTCATCCATGCTGCCCCACCTCCACACGCTGGTCATTCACCTTCGCGAGTCTGGCATGTCCGATTCCTTTTGGGCAGCGTCAGTCCGTGCGCTCGCACCGCGCTGCGCAAAAATCCAGATTTTCCGCCTCACAGTGCCCGATACTTCGGAAATGCCTAGCCCGGAGATTACCGCTGCATTCAGCGACCTTGCGGGGGACGGAATGCAAATATCCATCAAGCATAGAGTCGCTCAGTGATTCCTAATAACTCCCTAATATCTATGGCTCGTAGTCTTGGACGAGTTCGAGCATCTGAATATATTGTTGTTCATAACTTTGTGCTCACCGCTGCTGTCGCCATGTAAGCACATTGACAATGAGTAAAATTCTGCCCAAACCCCGGAGCAGAGTGCTGACTCGAAATTTCGTCCTGAAGTCATGAACGAGTCAAGGAAGTCAGTTGTGTTCCATGCATCGTGCCCGATTTTTTTTGGCAAGTTCGATCATACTCGTAGGATGTGGAAGGGAAAATAGGTTCAGCCTAGTGCAAATGACCCGGTGGTTCAAAGAAACTCACCAGCCAACCTAAGTAAAGTCTCCGGCATGGTTTGAATTGGAAGAGATGCTTGGTGATGGGCCCGGGAACTTGAACCATGTAAAATGCAATCGTTTCGGACTTTCGGACATGGGGAGTCGAATGCTGAATCGCTGGCCACCATCCACGATGATTCAAGTAAAGTAAGAGAGTCAGCTGTGTGCCACACACCATGCCCAATTTTATGTGGAGGGTGAGTGCATGAACTTGAGGGTGTAAGATGTGCAGTATAATTAGACGGATGGCGGCCTCGGAGCGAAGAAAATTAGTTCACTTTGAAGGGTGGTTGAAATGGGAAGAAATGGTTGGGTCCGGAAAAATTGAACCAAAGCGGAATCCATAACCGTGGATCGGGCGGGGGACACATAGCGATGTTGAAACAAAAATTAAATAAAAAAAGTGAAGACGAGATACGGCATTCGGAGACGGGGAGTTGAACCCCGGATTGCTGGCAACATGCATTCTACCCAACTTTGACCATAAGGAAGCTGTGTGCCGTACACCATGTCCGATTTTGTGGGCAGGTAAGCGGTTGGGTCCATCAAGGCGAGTTAATGCAAAATCGGGGTTTGTTTATCTGTGGTTAAAATTAGATTGGGAAGCGATGGTTGCAGCCAGGTGCGAAAAGTTCAACGCAACCACGCGGTCACCCGAATCTTTCCGGAGGAGGGAGGGGTGTGGGAGATCATTTTCGAAACGTGCAAAAAAAAATTGACCGCGAGGACTCAGGAGGGAAGTCGGACACGGGGAGTTGAACCTCGAATTGCTGGTAATCAAAGAGAGTCAGCCGTGTTCCGTACAGTGCTACTCAGGGTACACCGTGCCCGACCATATTTACAAGTTGGTGGTTTACCTTCATACGGACAGATGACTCTGAGGGCGTGAACTGGGTACCCAGCCCAAGTCTCCGAGAACAAAGCGGGATTTGTGGTTGAGAAATAATTTGGGTTCAAGAGAATTGGATCATTGAAAGTGGAATCCACGATGTTGAAAAAAAGTAAGACACCACGGGAAGTACTATTCGGGGACGGGGAGTTGAATCCCGGACTGCTGGTAACGTAACGCATGGGTAAACTACGAAAGCCGGCGGTGTGCACTGTGCCGTACACCATGCCCACTTTTATGGGCAGGGTGCGTGGATAGAGTCGAGGGCATAAAATGTGCCACATGCCACATCAATGACCCAGTACCGAAAGAACAACCCGAGTCGTGGGTGATGGAAAAAAAAATTGATTCGAGGAAATTCAACCACACTACCCCGACAACTTGGGGAGAAGGGACGGTTGACTGGGTTCGAAAAGTTCAACCGCAGCCATACAGCTATCTGAATCTTTTCGGAGGAGGAGAGAGAGTACTAAAAAAAAGTCTCTAAGAGGCAGGGAATTCGGGCACGGGCAGTCGAACCCCGGACTACTAGCAATATCCATGGAAATACTGTAATACCGTTAAAGAAAGCCAGCTGTGTTCGGTACACCATGCCCGACTATAAGTATGGGCAGGTAGGCGGTTAGTACCGGTTAGTAGTTGCATCAAGGCGAGAGTCTTAAAACTCAGTGCAAATGGGCGATCTATTTTATTTTATCTATGGTCACGCTTGAATTCAACGTTTGAAATTGGATGAGATGGTTACACCTGGGTCCAAAAAAGCTCAACCGTAACCACATGGCACCCGAATTTTTTCGGAAGTCGGAGCCGTTCGAGATCATTTTCGAAACTTGTGGAAAAAAGGGAAAACCTGGAGATTCGGGGACAGGGAGTCGAACCCCGGACTGCTGGTAACATGTCTACGCCCACTGCAAGAAGGCCAGCTGTGTGAACTATGCCGTACACTATGCCCGGGTTTATGGGTAGGGTGGGTGGATAGAGTCGAGGGCATAAAATGTGCCACATGCCACCGGCACCCAAAGAACAACGCGAGTCGTGCGTGATTGAAAAAAAAAATGGATTCGAGGAAATTCAACCACACTACCCCGACCCCTTGGAAAGAAGCGACGGTTGTTTCGATTCTTAAGGGGAAAAATGCATGCCACCGTTGGGAGATTCGGACATGGGGAGTGTGTTCCGTACACTATGCCCGACTATGATGGGCAGGTAACCGTTGGGTCCATCAAAGCCAGAGTCTCGAACTTTGTGCAAATTTGATTTGTGGTCGAAATTGGATGAGATGGTTGGTTACAGCTGGATTCGAAAAGTTCAACCGCAGCCACACGGCTATCCGAATCTTTTCGGAGGAGGAGGGAGAGTACTAAACAAAGTCTCTAAGACGCAGGGAATTCGGGCACGGGCAGTCGAACCCCGGACTGTTGGCAATATGCATGAAACACAACCGTGGACACCATAGAGGAAGGCAGTGTTCGGTACACCATGTCCGATCCTTTGGGTACGGCGGGTATCAAGGTGTAGTCTTCAACAAGTAACTTGTTGCAAATCGGGGACTTTATCTGAGGTTAAACTTGGATTGGGAAGTGATGGTTACAGCTGGGTCTGAAAAATTCAACCGCAACTATTCACGGCCACCCGATGTTTTCGGAAGAAGAGAGATAATTCGAAACTTGTGAAAAAAAGGTTTTACTACAACCCAGGAAATTCGGACAGGGGGAATCGAACCCCAAATTGCTGGTCACCATCCAGGTTGGTCAGGTAAAGAGATCCAGCTGTCTGCCGTAACCATGCCCGATTATATGGCGTGGTTCGGTTGATAGATCGAGGGGATAAAACTGCGGAACAAGTCAAAGATGTAACGGAAGGCGGAGATTTGAACCCAGATGAGTTGGCCTTGCTGCGTGCCTCGAAGACTGGAAACTTGATCCAACCAAATGAGATTAGAACTTGGAAAAAGACACTGGATCCCGGAGAATTCGAGCACGGGGAGTCGAATCCCGGACTGCTGGCGACTCATCGCTTCCCAATGCCAAATCAAGCCAGCTGTGTTCCATACACCATGCCCGATGGTATGGGGTGCATGAACTCGGGGGCGTGGAATGTGCAGCATTAATGATAAGATGGAGACTAGTTTCGGAGTGAACAAAATAAGTCCACTTTGATGCCTGGTTGAAACGGAAGAAATGGTTGGGTTCAAGAAAATTGAACCAAAGTGCCGATGTCCGTGGATTACTCATGGCGATGTTGAAACAAAACAAAACCACTGTTGGACAGAGGTATTCGGGCACGCGGAATCGAACCCCGGACTGCCGGCGACTAATTGTCTCCGTCTCCTAATGGCAAATCAAGCCAGCTGTGTTCCACACACTATGCCCGATAATATGGGAAGGGTGGGTTTGGGCTGTGCATGAACTCGAGGGCGTGGAATGTGCAGTATTAATAATAAGATGGAGACTAGTTTCAGAGTGAACGAAATAAGTCCACTTTGATGCCTGGTTGAAACGGAAGAAATGGTTGGGTTCAAGAAAATTGAAACAAAGTGCCGATGCCCGTGGATTGCTTGGCGGAGAGATAGCGATGTTGAGGAAAAAGACAGAATACTCGACTGCCTTATCATTCGGACACGGGGAATCGAACCCCGAATTGTTGGCGACCGTGTGCCAAAGATTAAGTGTCGTACACCATGCCCGATTCCATGGAGAGGGTGACTGCACGATGTCGAGGGCATAAAATGTGCCATATTAATAGTAAGACCGACACTAGTTCCGGAGCGAAAATAAGTTCACTTTGATTTGTGATTGAAACACAAGAAATTGGGTCGAAGAAAATTGAACCGCCAAAGTGCCGATAGCCGTGGATCGCTTAGAGAAAACACGGTGGCGATGTTGCAAAACAAAAAGGATCCGCGAAGATAAGGAGCTATTCGGGCACGGGGAGTCGAACCCCGTTCTGCTGGTCATACGTGAGGACCGGACACGAAAGCCAGCTGTGTGCCGTACACCATGCCCGATTTTATGGGTAGGGTGGGTGCATCAAGTTGACGACTCGGTGCAAATGAGCGATAGATTTTATTATATCTGTGGTCACGGTTGAAACATTGAAATTGGATGAGATGGTTGTAGCTGGGCTCGAAAAGCTCAACCGCAACCACACGGCCATCCCATTTTTTGCGGAGGAGAGTACATACGAAACTTGCGGAAAAAAATCTGGAAAGCAGGAAAGGAGCCACAAATCATGCCCAATTTTATGGGCAGGTTGAGTGGATAGAGTCGAGGGCATAAAGGAGCCTACTTACGGAATAAACAAAATAAGTGCACGTTGACGAGTGGTTGAAGCGAAATTGGGTTCATAAAATTTGAACGAAAGTGGAATCCATCGTCGTGAATTGCTTGGGGGAGGCATGGGATGCTGAAAAAAAAGCACAGACGCTACTGGAGCTTCGGGCACAGGGAATCGAACCCCGGACTGCTGGTAACGTGATTGAAGGGGAAATACGAGAGCCAGTGGTGTGCCGTACACCATGCCCGATTTTATGGTCAGGTAAGCGGGTGGGCGCATTAAGGAGAGAGTCTCCAACTTGCGGATCGATTTCATCTGTGGTCGAAATTGGATGAATTGGATGAGATGTTTGGTTACAGCTGGGTCCGAAAAGTTCAACCCAACCACACGGCAACCCTTTCGGAGGAGGGGTGCGGGGGGGATTTCTTGATCAAAAGGCTAAATGGAAGTGCCATATTCGGGCACGGGGAGTCGAACCCCGAATTGCTGATCACCATCCTGGTTGATTTAAGTAAGTGAGCCAGCCATGTGCCGTACATACACCATGCCCGATTATTTCAACGGCATGGTTCGTTTCATGGGTTTGAGTGGATAAAAATTGAGGAAAGAAGTGACGGAGAGGGGAAATTCGAACCCAGGTGGGTTGGCACCGTTGCACGTGCCTCGAAGAAATTGGATTCCACCAGAAAATTCAACGAAATGAGATTAGGGAAGAACTTGCAAAAATGAACGAAAAGCCGCGGAATTCGGGCACGGGGAGTCGAACCCCGGACGGCTGGCAACATGTTTACGCCCACTGTAAGAAGGCCAGCTGTGTTCTGTACACCATGCCCGATTTTAAGTAGGATAAGTAACCTCGGATTGAATTATGAGTCCACTCTTTGGGGGAAATTGAGCGCTATTGGACAATAGCATCTGATAGCACTAGTGCATGAGCATTTCAAGGCATGCCACGCTTTCTTGAACTTTTGATGGATGGTTCAACCAGTTGGACTTTGCACCCCGAATTTTATCCTGAGCTCTCTAAAATTGGAAAAATTCTCTACAGCTCTTTCGCTGCTCAATCGAGATTTCTCTCGTGGACCAGGAATTAATGAGCGCTTGAGTGAGATACAGCATTCCTGCGCAAAGACTCACCTCAATTTGGACATGTTTGAAATGAGGGTGTATGATCGGCGGCACGCCTTCCGAACCTTCCGCCTTTGGGCGCCCATGTTCTCGAGGCCGCGTTTGTTGCTGACTGTCTTTGTTGCTCACCAATAATCGCCTCGGTCCTTCAAATCTGCTAGCTTCTCTGTCACCCAGGATTCCCTGGCCATCTACTTGGCATAAACGCCTGTTTACTTCAAGTTTACTTGGGACCATCTCTGGTTGCTTATAATACTACTACTACAATGCCACCGGGACCAGCGACGCCGTCGACGCGGTCCGATGAGGACGAGGAGCTGCGGCCGTATGTCATTGTGAACGATATCGGGAAGGGCAGCTTCGCGACAGTGTACAAGGGATACCATGAGGTGCCGTCCGCCTCTTTACCACAAATTCCTCGGTAATTCAATGGCAATTTGGGCAGGACACGCACCAAAGCGTCGCGATCAAGACCGTGCTGAGGCAAAAGCTCTCCGCGAAGCTGTTCGAGAATCTGCAGAGCGAGATCCAAATCCTCAAGTCACTCTCGCATCGGCATATCACGAAGCTTATTGATATTGTTGTATGCCTCTTTCTTTCCTCGTTCCGCGGTATGATTCTGACCCTAATTCGCACAGCGCACAGACCGCAATATCTACCTCATCATGGAATACTGCTCCGGCGGCGACCTCACCAACTACATCAAGAAGCGTGGCCGCGTCGACACCCTCGAATACGTTCCCTCCCCGGGCGCCGCGCCGCAGTATTACCCGCACCCAAGAACGGGGGGGTTGGATGAGATTGTCGTGCGCAGCTTTTTGAGGCAGTTGGGTGCGCGTCAAACTGGCTTTTTGTCTTCGAAGTATTAATATAATGTCGTAGCCCGGGCACTCAAGTTTCTCCGGCACCGCAACCTCATCCATCGCGATGTCAAGCCTCAGGTGTGTGGTCTTCCCCGCATACTCGCGCTTTAGTCCCTCTATTCTCTAACTCGTTACTCACTCGCTCGCAGAACCTCCTCCTCACCCCCGCGCCCCCCGCCGAGCTCGCGCGCGGGCACCCCCTCGGTGTGCCCATCCTCAAGGTCGCCGATTTCGGCTTTGCGCGCTCGCTCCCGAATGCGATGATGGCGGAGACGCTGTGCGGGAGTCCGTGAGTATCGTCTTGCCTTGTTTCTTGATACTCTTTTTCTCCACGACTTAATCCTCGTCCTTCCTACATCACACTCAGCTCTCTATTCTTATCACTCCCTACTCTCTCCTTTCCACAATTCCCACTCCCCTTTTCATTTTCTCCGTTCACAATCTACAACACACTACTCACCGCTGACCCCACCTCTCTAGCCTCTACATGGCGCCCGAGATCCTGCGGTACGAAAAGTACAACGCCAAAGCGGACCTGTGGTCTGTCGGTGCGGTGCTGTACGAGATGGCCGTGGGCCGCCCGCCGTTCCGCGCGGCGAACCACATCGAGCTGCTGAAGAAGATCGAGAGCGCGAAGGGGATAAGGTTTCCCGACGAGGCGCGGGAGGGGGACACCTCCACCTCCAATTCTAAATCCACACGCAGCGGCGGCGGGGGGAGCGAAGAACTGCCCGTCCCGCCGGACGTGAAGAAGCTCATCCGCGCGCTGCTGAAGCAGAACCCGGCCGAGCGTGCGAGCTTTGAGGAGTTCTTTGGGAGCACCGCACTTGCGAAGAGTAAGTTCCCGAGGCCGGATCCCGAGGCGGAGGTGGGGCCGGAGCTGCCTTCTGTGTCGAATTCGCAGAGTGAGGCGGACGGCGACGACGCGAGCGGGCGGGAGGTGGGCGGGCAGGGCGGCGAGGGAAGGGTGCCGGCGCACCATCTGGTGATCCCGCCGGAAGTGCTGGACCCGACGGCGATGATCCCGCCGAGTAAGTTTAATTTTCGGGAAGGTGTGGGTGCAGGTCAGGCAAGGGTGGCGATTCCTGGGTCTGCGGCAGGTGGGCCGTCGTCCCCGAGGTACGCACTGAATATCCTTTTATCCATCCCGACTTTGCTCACCCTCACCCTCACCCTCACACCCCAGTTCCGCATCCTCGCGCGATAAGGAAAAGTTCACGCCCCCGACGGAGAAGGTGCGCCGGCCGTCGAACCCGTCCTCGACGAAACCAGTGACGGGCTCGCCGCTGCGGCCGCCTCGCCCGCTGTCGACGGAGGGCTCGATCATCCCCGGCGAGACGGAGGAGGACGGTATTCTGCGGCGCGAGTATGTGCTGGTGGGGGATACACGGGCGGTCGAGTTTAATCGCGCGGTGGATGGTGAGCCCCTCCTCGTTCCTCCCTTTATACCCTCCCTCCCTCCCTCCATCTGCCGTCGCATGATTCTGACTAACATCGGTGGGTGTGTAGAGCTCAGTGCGGTGCCCCGTCGACCGCTGCAGGACCGCCGGCTCCCTCCCACGCCGACCGTGGAGGACTTCCCGGGCGTCGAGTACCCGCATCACGCGCCGGCGCCGGCGCCCTCGCCTTCCAGCGCGGCGAACAACGCCAACACGTCCTTCCCCCCGCCGCCCCACGCCGCGGCGCCCCCGCTCTCCTCGTCCCCCTCGAGCATCGCCTCGCGCGCCGCGTCCAACGCGCTCAACCGCGCGCTCAGCATCGCGTCGAAGAAGCTCTTTGGCGTGGCGACGCAAAGGCGGTCGTCGTCCGCGTCCCGCACAGGGACCGGGGAGGGAAGCAGCGCGCCCCCGAGTCCGCGGCGGCCGACGCACATTATCGCACTGGACAACGGGGACGGCGCGCGGGACCCGCTTGAGGACGAGCTGCTGGCGGGGCTGGAAGAGCTGGCGCAGAAGACATTTGTGCTAACGCACTGGGCGGACGAGATGTATGAGTATGTGAAGGCGGTGCCGCAGAGTGCGTTTCCCTCCCTTGCTTGCTTCTTTCCCCGTTTCCTCATTCTCCTCCTCCCTCTTATTTCCCCATCGTAAACGCTAATCATGCGCATCCGCAGAACCGCTCCCGGACCCGACCAAGTTTGCGCGGCGCGAGGGCGAGGCAGACAAGCACGCGCGGCGGCGCAAGCACGCGGACATGGAGGCGGAGTACAACGCCGTCACCTGCGTCGCGGTGTACATGCTCCTCATGTCGTTCTGCCAGAAGGGCATCAACCGGCTGCGGAATCACCAGGAGCACATGCGCATGCGGCATCCGGACGGGGATTTTGTGGTTAGTGAGGGGTTTGATGATGGTGGGTGGGCTTTTCCTGCTTTTATTCGTTTCGTTGCGTCCTGCATACGCTCCCCTCTTCCCTTCCTGCTTGACGTGCTTGGGTGTGTGCTGACGACGCCGCCGATAACAGCGCAGACGTGGTTTACGGGGCAGTTTGTCAAGTGCTATGATCGCGCGACGCTCGTCAAGACGTGGCTGCCGGCGCAGTACGACGGGCCGAAGAGCTGGCTTGACCAGCTGGTGTATGACCGTGCGCTCGTGCTGGTGCGTACCTCCGCGTTTCCGTGTCGTGCAAAAGCTCATTATTTGCTTCTTTCGTCGTTTATCTTCGCGTGTCTGCGCTCATTTACCTTCATCTCACCTACGACTCCGCTCCTCATCTCGCTCGCCTGTCTGCGCTCAACTCATCCCATTCTCACGCGCAGAGCCGCACCGCCGCGCGCAAGGAGCTCTTCGACCAGGCGACGAGCCCGGACGAGTGCGAGAAGCTGTACGACGAAGCGCTGTGGTGTCTGTATGCGCTGCAGGACGACCTGCTGCAGATGGGGAACCCGTTTATGGATGAGGATCGGACGACGATCGATACCTGTAAGTGTCACCCCTCTCCATTCCCTTACCCCCTCTTTGTTCATCCCTCCCTCCCTCCTCTTCGCTTGCTTATGACGGCGGTGCTGATGACGTTGCAGGGATCAAGCGCACAAAGCTGCGCCTGCTACGGTGTCGCGCGCGCATGGCCATGAATGACCAGGACCGGCTGAACGACGCACGCGCGGACCATAACCTCGCGGACGTCGCGCGCATACCTGCGCCCTGGGATGTCAAGCCCGCCGATGGTACCGCCGCGGCTCCCGCACCCTAGCGCCCCGCCTGCTCTTTTTTTGCATCTCATCGGTCTGTAATTGTAACTAATTTACTAGAGGCTTCCTC